TGGGCCACACACAACGGCCTTTACCGACCATAAACACGCGCATATCGGCTTATTTCTGGCCACACACACATGCATAACAACAACATACACAACCTACACTATTCAACTTGAACGTTCCTACACAGTATGCACTACATGCAAGCCAATATGTACAAGTACCAGAATCGACACCACATTGATGACCTGAATAGAAATCCAATCTATATCATCATAGCAACATCTGAATATCAAAATTTATTTACTTTTAACCTCCATCTCCTCCTAACTCGGTAAGATCTTCTTCACTCATACGTTTATTCAACCTCCGTTCTCGATCTCTCTTTCAATTTCTTCTCTCCACCTCCTTTTTTGTCGACCGGCCTCTGTTTCACGTGCGCACCGATCTCCAGGACGAATATGAGCCATCAATTCTCCTGTTTCTTTTTTTTTTAAATTCCCAATTTTTTCTTCTTTTTTTAAAATCTTTACAACTCAGCTCGTACTCTATTTCCATATTGCTTCTCTTCTTTAAAATTGTTTTCAATTTGATGCTATTTTCTTTCTCATTTTAATTTTTTTATCGAGATGTTACAATACAAAATCATAGACATTATAGACATTATTAGAGTTTCTTATAATCATTTAATATTTGCAACTTTAAATTTATAAAGCATTCATTAATTTGAAATGATAAAAGAGTACATATCAAATCACAATAAAAGAAAGTATAAGGACAAAAAATAATGAAACAAAAATACATAAAGTTATGAACCATAAGGTAATAAGTCATGTATCACTTTTGTGAGATGACATTATATATATACATACATACATACAGACATACTCTATATATATATGTATCTATATATGGTAGATATCAACAACCATAAAAACCAAGTTGGTAGTGTCAATATTTAACCTTAGATGCAGATAATAACATCATAATCAGATTTAATTGGTTCAATATTGAACAAAATATAATTCATTATTTAATTATTTAATCTTTTGGCTTTTGTTGAAATCATGAATAAAATCTTGACTTCTAATTCATAATGCAATTATTAGTTTTTTTTTTAAATCGAATTATACCTATGTTTTACATTTAAGCACATGGGTTAAAAAGGTATAAATTGACAATATATATATATAGTAAAACAATAGGGGTCCATGTTTTTTTTTATTATAAAATATATATATAATAAAATCAAATTTTCAATATATTGTAACTATGGTAATTATTAGGCACACGCATATATATATATATATATATATATTCTTAAAGTTAATTTAATACATGCATGTATTGATGTCATCATTTATTTATATATAGTCATCTTAAAGGATATATACATCCATGTACAATAATGTAAAAATGAAGAGTTTCATTTTCCAATTCTAATTAATACTTTAATACATGTAACTACATATTTATATATGAACTTTATATATGTTTATTTTTCAAGTTTTTTTTTTCTTTTTATGTATGTTTGGTTTTACTATATGATTTTTATCCTATCATAAGTGGAAAAACATGCTTAGTGTATGTAAGAAAATTAATTATATAATATTAACATTCAATTAATAAATTATAATTAAAAATAATAAATTAATCCGAATTATTACAATATTATTTTGTTTTACTCTCGACTTCAAATTCAATATTTCATACTTGAATCTAAAATAATTTATTAATATATTATTAATTAAAATAATAACAATAAATTAAAATTTTGTATATATTTTTTTTTTATAAAAAAAAAATCACATACCTACCTTCAAAAAAGTATGTATATATATATTTATAAATAAAAATTTCCTCTTTCTTTTAAGACTTTGAAAAGTAAACTTAATTTTTTTTTTAAAAAAAATATGAATATAAATATACAAAAGAGAGAAAAACAAAGGACATTAATACAGCTGCCACCTAAACTACACAAACTCTTCGATTATCACTTCATACATTAAATAAATTAAAAATTAAAAAACAAATTAACAAATATAATATACAAATAAATCCTAAAAATATTTTATAAATAATAAAAATTATAATTTATTAAAAAAAAAAAGGGAAGAAGAACACCCAATAGAGAAAGAGAAATGGGAGCTTAAACCATTTCTATACTCAGATGCAGAGGAAGAAGAAAGAGATGACCCCAAAAACCAAATGACCAAATCCTTTCACTACGCCGTCATCTCCAATGCCGCCGATCATCTTCCGTTAGTTTCCCGTTGTCACCGTAAAAAACGTACTGATGTCTCGCCGTCTCTCCTCACCGGACCCTTCTGCCTCCGCTTCTAGTAGCCTGTACTGCGAGGAGGACGCCAGCGACGTTGTGTCCGCCGACGCGTGGGATCCCCGTTTCTTTTCGTCACCGTTATGCGTTGAGGAAACCCTTTCCGGCCTTATTGAATCGGAGTTCAGGTTCATGCCGCTGCCCGATTACGTCCGACGATGCGATGACCGCGCCGTCGACGTGACCGCCCGTCAAGATTCCATCAACTGGATTCTCAAGGTTCGCATTTTTGTATGCACACGTGTATGTATGTACATATACATGTCTGTGTAATGCGTATGTATGTGTGTATTCCTTGTGTTATTGTGGGGATCGGTGTGGTGATATGACGGCCAATGCAGGTGCATGCATATTATCATTTCCGGCCAGTCACCGCGTTGCTTTCAGTCAACTACTTTGACCGTTTCCTTTCCGTCCATCCTCTCCCGGTAATACTCTTTTTTTCCATCACTTTCCCGAGAAAATAGCATGTTTTCCGGGAAAAAAGGACAGTCCTTTTTACGCTCTTGCCTTTTTTTTTTTGTTTGCAGAAAGAAAATCGGTGGCCGTTTCAACTCCTATCAGTGGCTTGTTTATCTCTGGCTGCGAAAATGGAAGAACCCGATGTGCCATTGTTGCTCGACCTGCAAATATTCGAACCCAGATTTGTTTTCGAGCCAAAAGCAGTACAGAGAATGGAGCTATGGGTGATGGAGAATCTCAAATGGCGTCTGCGCTCCGTTACTCCTTTCGATTATCTCCATTACTTCATCTCCAAGCTCCCTTCTTCCTCCTTTGCTCCTGGTTTCTTCACTCGGGTCTTCTCTGCTTCTTCGGATCTCATTCTCCGAACCACCCGAGGTAATCCGAATCCATACCCGTTATACACAACCCGAAACCAACTCCATTAATTTCATTAATTAAATTTAGGGTTTCTTTTTTCTTTTCAGTGATTGATTTCTTGGGTTTCTCGCCGTCGACTATAGCGACGGCGGCCGTGCTCTGCGCCACCGGAGATGTGGACGGTAAAGTTATTGTAGTACCGGATTATTTTCACGCGAGACTGAACAAAGTAAGAATTCAAGGGTCTAAGTGAAAAAGTTTTTCTCTATCTGGGGTTATTCCGTAAATATCTATTTTGTTCTTTACGAGATTTCCGAAGTTTTGAGAAGCATGGAAAGATGTGTAATAATCTCTTTTCGTTTTCCTTTTTTTTTTTTTTTTTTTTTTTTTGGGATAGGAAATGGTGAGAAGCTGTCACCAACTAATGGAGGAGTACATGATCGACACGTGTCCGTCGGCGCCATTAAAGGAGCTGAGAGTTGAGCCGCCGCAACCGCCACCCGCGCCTCCCAGTCCGGTGGGCGTTCTCGACGCTGCTTCCTGCGTTAGCTGCGATACGCGTTCGGAAAATCCGGGGTCCAGCGACCAAGCCGAGCCGCCTCCAGCCAAGCGGTCACGATCCTCTGACCCGGATGTACAGCAATAGCGTATAAGACCAGATCACCCCAGCCATCAATTTTCTCCCTTTTATCAGAGATTCATGAAGTGGGCCCACTATTTCTGTGATTGTAAAATTAAGGAACGGTCGGGATTGGATAATATAATATATATGAGGGAAGAGGGGATTTTTATAATTTATGGAAAAAAATATATATATATATATATATTTTTTATTGCCGGGTAATTTGGTAAAATTAATGGTTTTTAAAAAAAAAAACTATTTATGGTGGGTTTTAAATGGACATTTGATGTCATGATGTTTCAATTATTCCTAAAGCCCAAACATCAATCATAACCACATGAGCAGTCATGTATCATGATGAGAGGGGGCCCAGCCATAGATTTTTTGGTTGACTAAAACTTGCTTACCTTCTGTTTTAATCACCACAATTTCCTAGTGGGACCCACTTTTTCTTAGGTACGTAAATTACTCCGGGAAAATGTTTGGAATTACACCCAAAATTTACTTCATTATTCTGATTTACCAAAAAATTTATAAGCTACTCATTCCTAAAACTAACCCCACATCTTCACTTACTAGGATTCTAACACACACCGAACCAAATAATGTTGTAACGGTGTTACGTTATTAGAGTGGAGCGAATTTAGAATTCGAGATGACAAAACTCGTCCGAATTCCCCGCATAATTCACTCAATTCGAACGGACCCGAAATTGCATTTTACAAAAAATACAAAGTTTCGAGACAGAAACAAGTTGGAATAAATGAAAAATAATGATCTCGAGGGCAAGGTGAGTTAGGGTTGAGGATTTCCAAATTAAAAAGAAAATTAATAAAATATAGGAGAGGCGATACGATGACGTTTTGTTTGCGTATAATGCGTTTGCACATGAGATGTACGTACCCATTTTGAAGTGGTGGGGTTTATGAAGGTGACAAAATCTGAGCCGTTGGTTGAGTTGGGGGGGGGGGGGGGGGGAAAGCAATCAGGACCGTCCAGGTAGGCGCGAAGGAAGACACAGACACAACTGTCTTGTTGAGGCAAAGAAAGATTTGATTTATGGTGGCCACTACACGTCACATCACCTACAAGCTTATACGAGAATAACAACAACATAACCAAAAAGCTCTCTCATTCTTTTTACGAGATCCAGAGAAGGGGGGGAGGGTTTTATTCCAGTACATCGCACGTTCCTGCTCTCCACCCTGATTGATGTTTTTTTGACCGTCGATCGCACTAAAAATAAATTATAATATTTTTTAGACAGGAAATAAAATTATAATTTTTTTATATATTTTTTTTTGAAAAAAGGTGTAAGAGTGGGGCCCGCATATTTTGTGGCTGGAATTTTTCTACTCCATAAAAAGTTAATATGGTCAAGGTGGGCTTCCCTAATGCCAGGCTGTATGCAAAAGGGTTGGGGAGTGGGACCCACGCCCATCCTGTTCGCCAATATTTTTCCTGCAGTGCAGGAACAGGAACAGGGGGAGGGGGAGGGGGAGGGGGAGGGCAAGTGTTGTTTGTGCACATGTGCAAAACTGGGCCCAGTCTACCTTATGGGCCCACATTTATAGGCCCACTTAAGGGAGCAAAGTTGGGCCCACTCTAACCCTACAAGGCTACAGCATTTATAAATAAATAAATAAATAAATAAAGTTTGGGGGGAGGGAGGTTTTTGGGTTTCTGAGTTCTGACCCATCAAGGACAGGGTGACTCACAGATTCACAAAAGGGCTCTTAAGAAAAGGCCATTGCATGAGACAAATCAGCATTAATAACCCTAGAATTCAACCGGGCCCACTTTATTTTTTTTAATAAAATTAAATATTGTTATTTATATATTTTAGTTAATTTAATTAAAAATTTTATATTCACTACATAATTCAATCAATTATATATATATATACACACGCAAGAAATCATAGATTTATGTTCGATTAATTATAAAATATATTAAAAATGATTTTAGAAAATGGTTGATGGAACCACATGGCATTGCCAGCTTTGTCTAATGAATGGTGGGTTCTGTTTGGTTGTGGGGTTGAGGGGAGTCTTGTCCTTGGGTTGGTTGTATGCATGTTTTCAAACAAGCAGTAATATTATTAGTTAAAGAAGAATGCATTATTGTTTTTATGTAACTTGTTTTCTTTCATTTTTAGGGGATGGGTCTACATGCAACAATCAAACTATAAATATATATATATATATATATATGTATGTATGATGCATGCATTTTTACTATTATGCATTTGACAATACTATTTATAAATATAAATATATATTACCCTTTTTCAAATATATTTTAAAAATTTATAAATATAGTTTTAAATCATTTTTAAGTGAGTATGATTAACATATTACAAAATTAGTAATAAGTAAATAAGAAGATTAAAAAATCTTTCTTAATGCACCCATATAAGTATATATACATATATATATATATATATATATACTCACTAAATTTTTTTTAAAGGGTTTTGGTGCAAATAGTAAAAGATTGTGGTGTAGGTTATTTCTTTGTTTTGTTGGGCCATATTTTCAAATTGTTTTTTTAATTGGGCAGTTTAAGTAAATATGTAATTTTTGTGGACCAAAGCCCAAAAGGAGAGGCAGGCCTCATCCGAACATAATAGATGTTCGAGAATTAGGTCCTTACTAAATAAATATGTGTAACCCATTGGGCTTTGGTCCAGCCTCGTGTATATGTGCGTGTGTGTGTATATATACACCATTGTTGAGCATTATATAAATAGAAACATGTAAGTAGTTGTATATTTATAGAAATCAAATAAAATTTTATGAGTAATAATATATGTGTGTATAAAATTAGTGTCAAATAAATAGGGTAAAGAAGAAACTCTTTGTTTAGAAGTTATCTAAGATTGTGAAACAAATATATTGAAAACCATGTACTTAAATATATATATATATATGTGTGTGTGTGTATATAACACCATATATGTTAGTGTTGCATGAGATAAAACTCAAAATTTAAAACTTAATGAGAAATTAAAATTTAGATAAATGCTTAGTAAAAAATGTTTAAATTAAAATAATATAATATTTTTTAAAAATAAAAAGTATAAAAAAATTATTAATTAACGTGTATCAATCAATTCGTAATTTATAATTTCACTACGGGATTATAATATATTTATTAAAAATTATAAAAATTTTATTTGGAAATAAGTAATTAAATTAATGAACAAAAATAAATAATTATACTCTTAAAAAATAAATTAGATATAAAAAAATATATACCTATTACAAATGCTTCCAAAATATAATATGTTAGAAGAAGGGGAAGAATATGAAAACGATGACGCGCGTGGGAACGAAGTGGCCGATGTGAATCTTTGTCGTGGAGCGAAAAGCAGGGAGCCAGCAGGGACGGGGCAAAAAATGATTGGGGCAGCCAATTGCAGATTGCTGGACACACTATCCACGTGGCAGCGTGTATATGCTCCGCACGGTCGGTGCTGGTGTGGCCCCATCGTACGCCGTCCGTCCGTACGTACTTCCCCCAAACGACAATGTTTTGATTTGATTCTCTTTCCCCGTCCACGTGGCTCATTCACCACCTTCGGATCTCTCTCTCTCTCTCTCACTCACACGCACGGCCCATCCTTTTTTTTCTTTCTGAAAATCAATCAATAAATTAAAGAATTGAAATTATCGTGTGTTTAATTAAGATATAAAGAAATTCATTTATTTAATATTGCAACAACACAATTAGATAAATAATTTTAAAAAATATTTAAAATTAATTATTTTACTTGCTATTTTTCAACCCTAATTTTGTAATAAATTGTTCAATTAACATTTAAATTAGTACATAATATAAAATGTTACGATTCACGTCTAAAAATATATTATGTTATGATTTTGTCTTTTCATAATTTTTTTAATTACTATTTTTTGGGTAAAATCTATATATATATATATTACTTTTATTTCATCTAAAATAATTTAAAAATATATTTTTACGTTCGATGTTGTCTAATAAGAAAAATTTAGTATTTCTCTAAGTTGGTTTACAGCTACTTTTGTCTCATTGGATTGTATAAACTTTTTTTAAGTAAAATATTTTAAATTAATTTTTTATTTTATATTATATTAATTACAAAAGTAGGTTTGTTTGTTTCTTTTTTTTTTCCCCCAATTATTACATTAGTAGATATGTATGTATATCTTTTGACTTTATAAGATTTTTTGTTGGGTCCATATATTACAAAGTAGTAATAGTATACACTATAGTTTGAGATATTTAATTTTGATTTAGCTAAACCCTAAATGTATGTATGGTTGTGGGAAGTAATTTCAAACCTAACCCTACTTAGATTTTCCAAACCTAATTTCTTTACTAACCCAATATTTTCATTTGTTTTATTTGGTTGATGAGGCTTCCCTACCTATTCATTTGGCTATTGAATGATAATCTTTTAAATTATTAATGAGTGTGCGATTAATAATCTTTTTTTAAGCTATGTATAAAATGGACCGACATAGCGACATTTAAATTTTATTTTATAAATATTTTTGTATGTTATAAATAAAATACAGATATACACGATTATCATTTGATCGGTTGATGTAAAAGTTTTGAATATTTCAAGTTGTGTGGTCCATGTAATAAAATAAATGATTTAAAAAACTAAAATATGTGCAATATTATTCAGATAAGTTTATTTTAATCGAAATTAGTACCAGATTGAATGAACCGATTTATTTTTTATTTTTTATTTTTTAAATGTTCAAATCGAAAATCGTACTAAATAATATTTAATATGATATAGTCCAATATGCTAATTCCATCATAAACAGAAAATGAACACCATATCCACGTATACATCGTACATGTCATAGTTTTATAACAATACATAAAAATAAATTTTTTTTTTGAGAAAAATAAATCTAAGATATACAATAGAAGACAAAAAGTAATACTACATTCTATATATCATTTTATATACATACAAGTC